GAAATGAAGTGGTTCCGAAGTAGGTAAAAACCATTCACTACTGTCTATTGAGTATTCCAAAAACAACAAAGAACATATGTTTATACACATTAGTTTTTAGTGATTATTGTAGTTAAAAGCATTGAAAACCATGATTTGAACATAGAAAACTATTATCATATCTATAGTTCACTTGAACAACACTTCTAGCTACTATAAATTGTCATTAATCAGTTACATCACTCATTAGCTGGTATCATACAAAACGGACTTAATATGATGGGAGAACATTAACTCACTGTCTGTATCACTTAACTAATGCTTAATCTATATGGAACCTATTTTGAAATGATTCGAATTTTATTTCGTAAACTATGAATACTTAGTAATTTAGTGATATTTATCTGTCTTTTTTTTTTAAAAATCATATGTATTTCTAAAAGATAATTCAATATAAAACTTGATTACTATCTTAACAACTAAGAAGTTTTAAATACATAAAATATATTCCTTTATGATGTTTCTTTATCTTTGCTCTTTTCTTTTTCTTCTTACAATATTTTTCTGATTGTTATAAAAATTGGTTAAGTGTGTTATTTTAGAATTTCTTTATTAGAAATTTATGTTTCAAAAAAATAAAACTTTATTAAAGTGAGTCATGAAATATAGATAATATTGATTTTAATTGTTAACAATTTTGGCAGGTGACGCAAGTACTAAATCCTTGTTTTACAAGTTGATTATACACATAATTATGATAAGTATTATTATTTGAACTAACGGTCATAGAAGTCAAAGAAAAGTAATACAATATAAGAAAGCACATTTACAAAAAGCATTAAGTAAATAAATTTAAGAACCAGTAACTTATTATAATCTCTTTTTTATATTTTATTATACAAAATATTATGGAGTACAAAATTATAACCATGAAACTCCATAGAAAGATCAAATTTCTATGGAAACTCATAGGTTTATCCATTTTTCAAACAGATAAAAATACCATTAAACGTTACTGTAATATAAATTAAATTTCCTTGACATCATCATTTTGTTTGCTAAAAGTTTTGATTAAATCATTTTGTTATATCTTGTAAACAGACTATTAAGTAATCTATACTTGAATAACAGCTAACGTAGTTATTTAAATTTACTGTCAAAGTTAATATACTCTGTGAAAATTATTGGTAATGAGATTTACAAATATCAGTCTGTGAATATTTTAACCAGATAAATAATATAATTGTTGTATGACTAGTAATATGAAGAATTTGTTCATCCTTTTAGATTATCATCGACATAACTGAAAATGCTAAACAAATAGAATAATGAGAACAAATTTTATATGGAACTATAATAAAGGAATGTTCAACAGTTAAAACAAAGCAGTCGTCAAGATCGATTCAGATTACAATATCTTACATTCACTTGAGAGACCCTTATTAGTATGTAATTAATTGATCACATCATTCAAAATATAAAACAATGATCTCATATAATTGTTCAACTACTTTTCATGATAAGATTAAAGCTTAATTCTTTTCATTTTACTATGGTTTATCAGAGCAAAGTCTCATGATAATTAGGATACGAGAAGCATGTATTTCCATTATTGATAAAATAGAAAAAACATCCGGATATGATTGTTAGGGTGACTTGTGTTAGTCGACGATAAAAAAAATATAACAATAAAGTCAAGAATGGATATAGTTCTGTTTTAAAACTTTACAATCCTACTGACTCATAACCTCTTTTGAAATAGAATTTAAGCAACTCATTTTATATGAAAAGTGTATTAAACAATAAATTATCGACACTCATTACAACAGTTCGTTTGTTATTGTTTCGTGTCATGCGTACGAAAAGTAATCAAAAGACCTTGTTCTATTTTAAAATGAATTAAATTCCCAATAAAAACTAAATTTGAGTTTCACTGATCATGCAGTTCTAAGATCAGAGAGTCAATTTTGTGTGAAATAATTAGATGCTTTATGTCTATTCAAAAATCATTTTTCCATTTGTTGAATTCTAATAAGTAATCAGTTTCTGCAAATTTTAAAAATTGTACAGAAACACTTAACTTACTGGTAAATTTTCAGCTAGTTTATCTAGGTGATAGTTCAGGGTCTTTATTAATTGAGGATTTTCCTTATCACAGATCTAAGTCAGCTAGAAAGACGTCTAACTGGATGGTAGTGGTATTAGTAGTGATGTGATTTCATTACGGTGATATATTGGATCCAGGACCTTCATTTTTTAAGATTAAAACGTTCATAATCATCAGTTCATTGATGCGAAATCTAGTATTAAATACATTACTTACATTCATCACAAGATACAAAGTAATCACCATCAAATATCATCAATGGATAATGGCAGTATTACTTAGTTCAGTAGACCCCTCATATTAGGTCACATAATAATGTCAGTTGTAAAAATACTTACAAACACGGAGTTCTGAAAACTGTTTCGTCATCTTCAGTGTGCATTTTCATCCAAAAAGGGAAATGAAGCAGTCTTCAGGTCTTCGAATCGTAAAAATGCACAAAACCTAGTTATCATTATACGAATCTTTATTTGGTTGGTTGGCTTAAACTACAGATTACACAGGAAAACATTTGGTTTGAAATTTCATAAAACCCATCCATAGAATAAAAAACACCATTAAAATACAAATTCACAAACATTTGCATTCCAATGTGCATTTTAACTAATAAAACAGAAGAAAATTGTTTATATAACTTTATTTTCTTCGCTTCCGGGAAACCCCAAGAATCAAGGATCTTGTATTCTATCCTATCAATCAGGTCAGCTAGTAATCATTTAATCAATTATTATGAAAATAATAATAATAATTTATACCACTTGCTACACACTATCTTTTACTGTGAAACAGAAAACAGAAAAAAAACGAATTGAATATTTATCATTAATTGTGACGTCGATCAATAGGTTTTCCTATCAAATCAATAAAAACAAAAAATGAAACAGACGAACATCTTTATAATTTGTCCAGTGAAAAATCAGTGAAACAAGGAAGAAAGGTCATTCAGAAATAGATTTTCCTTGAAACTACTAGAGAGCAATTTATGAAGCCTAAACACAGGAAACAACAACATCAGGAAACTTCAAACATGAAGTTGGTAGTTATATTGTTTGTGTGTATATAAATTTAACAGTATTTAAGGGTTGGAGTAAAACAACTGTGCGTAAAAGTGAAAGTACGTACTTAAATAAACACATAATAGTGACGTACTAAGAGGATTACATGATGCTAATCTTTCCATTAAAAAATCTATCATCCTGTATTCCGACCGACAAACTTTTAGTTTCTTTTGTTGGCACCCAGAATGATTGATCCACAGTTTTATGTAAATTCATAGTCAACAAGAAATGCTCAGGGATTTTATATGGTCCTTTAATTATATCCATCGTCATAACTATATTTGCTCAGATTGAAGATTTTTCCAAATACACTACTCACTGGATTGGTCCATTTTAATTATTTACTACATTGGATACTTGTTGAATAAAATTCGATCAAAAACAACGGCTAAATACCCTGATAATAAATTGGAGGATTCCGACAACATCATCGAACGTCTTGACCACCTATTTTCTAACCATACAAATACTACAATTAGGCCACCTGGTTTGGAGTTGCTTAAACTGAATAATTACGAATGTTAATCGTACTGTATTCATACAATATTATAAAATGGTTACACATTATCGAGATACCAAATACTGGGAAACTCGAACAGAAACACTTCAGTTCTCTCCACATCTTCCTTCAGATCTATTGTTTGATGAAATGGGAGCAGAATATTCTGAAATTCGAACACTTAATATATGATGGATGGGAAGATAGTTGCAGCTGGTGAACTGGTGGAAAACTTTAATGATTGAATATGAGTGATAGATATTGAGTGTTAGAAACAGTTTTAAGAGTATGTTTTGAATGAATGTGTTTTGAAATTATGTCAAAGCGATAATTGTTGTAATGTCGCACATTTGATGCCAGGAAGTCTATGCTGCACCAAAAATTTATAGCACTGAATAAAGTTATCATCACTATTTACCTTCCGGTAACTGTTTACAGTATACAAAACGGCCGTCAAAACCCATGAATAAAACGGGTATGCTTTACAAGAGAGCATAAAGTTTGGTTTCCAATAAAGCCGAAACAAAACTATGATTATATGACTAATATATATATATATATATATATATATATATATATATATATATATATATATATATATATATATATAGATCATAAAAATAATACCAAATGAATCCATTTTTGTAGGCATAGAACAAACCTAATAGATTCTTTGTACATTACTTTTCCAACTTCCGTTGTCTTCTAACAAAATTGCATTCATGACTAGTAAACAAACATAAGTTGTCTGCTTTTGGATGCTAATTAATGGTGGTTCATGTCTTTTTGTGTCCAATGACACAAAAGATTGAAATACTGATGAAGTGACTTTTTACTTTAATCTATTTTAAAACGTATTCAAAACTAGTTTATATGAAAACTACAAGCATTATATATTTTTTCAAACATCGTATTTTTATATAACTCCCAAGTAAATTTAGATAAATTTACTGGAGTTAATGTATGCAAACCCATTGACAAGATGAACTTAATCATTAACGCTTGTGAGTTTTATTGCGTCAACTGCTTATATTTTACTCGACTTGTGTGTAAAGATGTACATATTAACATTTGAGCCAACGTCCGTTAATATTCAAATTTGAGCTAGTTTAATCCAATATTTGAGTTTAAAGTAATGTAATGTTATCAGTAATAAAATTTCTTGGTTTTTTATCCTTAAAAATATCCATAAAATCATATGTTACCGCCAATATTCTATGAAATTTAATAGTATGAATTATAGGACGCTCAATTGACAAAGGAATAAAGTAGAAATGTTTTAGAAACTCATGGCATAAATTATCTATTGAACTTCATTTCTTAAAAAAGTTTTAAAACTTATGACCAACTTACGTACATCTTCAGGCCGGTTTTCTGAGTTTAACATACAGTTAACGCACAAACTTTCTAAAAACAAAGTGGAAATAACAAGGTATAAATATCGCTTTTATCCACCAAAACAACGAAAATTCGTCTGTACTATAGAATAACTACAGCTGTTTACGTTAGTCGTTGCATTATTAAAAATATTTGTGTATTAACTATTGGAATTTTTGAAGAGAACCACGGAAAAAATACTAAAAACAAAATGGCTGTGCCTTTTATTCTTTCATTAATTGACTAAACTAACTACAAGACAAAAACATGCTTACATTTATGTAGTCAACTCAATTTGATGTGAGGTCAAGATTTTCTACTTTCCCTAAGCACCTTTAACTCGATTGATTTGGTAAATTACCAAGCCTTTCTCGAATTCTTTCATTTCGTTTGGCTATGAGATTACACCAAACTATCCCAAACCTGGACAGTTTAAGTTCCAAGAATTAGCTTGGGATGAAAAAAATTTTACCTTTCAGCTTAGACTTTACTGGTGCTATCATTCTGATCGTATTAATATTATTTTAAATATGTCTAAACTTAGAGGAGCTACAGTTAATTAGCCAAGTATTAGCACGTGATATGCGTGTTATTATTATAATTTGACCGACGATAATTACCCTATTCTTAACTGGATTCTGGTATGATATATTATTCAGTAAATGGTTTGTTTCTAGAATCCAATGGCTTACATAATGACCTGTTGGTGGTATCAAACAAAACTAGTGAGCATATCTGATAACCCCCCAATAAACAGTAGAACCACACTAAAGAAACCAACAGGAACAAAATCGTTTACACTCTGTCAGCTATCTAAAGCTGTTCAACACTTGAAAGATTGAGCTACAGTACTGAGTCAGCAATTAGTCAAAACAGTGAAGTTTGGCTACCAGAAGCTACTTAGCTGTTATAAATACAAAGATAGAACAGAAAAGGTTATTCATGAAGTTTCATTAAGCAGAGATCTATTCGGATCACAACATTTTTGCATCGGCTAATATGAATCGGTCTGGGTGTGTAGAGAAATGTAGTTAAAATGATTGTCTAAAAATGATCTCTATACTTATTATCTTGAAATCTTTGACCGTTATTCTGGTTATCTACTTCCATGAAACTTGAGTCCTTATAACTTTTAATATACATTAAAATCCACCGTTGAAGGTTAACTGTAGCTTCCACTTTTTCCTTGAGATCTAATTGTGACCTCATGCTTTTTGAACAGACCGGATACATTTGCTCTGAAAAAAATAAGATGGTAGCCTCATATTTAACACCGATTGGAGTGATTCGACAGGTAGTTTGAAAGTGTTTCACTCGCTAGCTTTTCTACGTAGTGGGATTTTGTCAAACCAATATCAGTAAATCCCACTTGTATGTAAGCCAGACTTGCATGTACTTCAGTCTTGTATATATTTTTAGTGACAAAAAAGATAAGTGTTACACCATGAGTCACTTATATATGCACTCTTTTTGACCACCAAGAGATTTAACAGATTAAAAACAATACAAAATCCAAATAATTAAAGCAAATACTCCACAACAAAGTAACCAACTCCGTTGTGATGTTTTAGTCCGATCATGGGTGGTAAAAATGACATGACATAGCACATAAGCAAATATTATCTTGAAAGTTTAATCATTTTCAAGAAGACATCCAAAAGTGTGTATCGAGAGCCTGAACACCACATTTGGGTGATTCAAACAATTCGTTTTGGATCTTATGAGCTGAAAGTATGATTTGTGTCATAATAATACTTACTCTTAGTATTGCATTCAAGTTATCATTAATTAGCTCAATAAGAAACTCTTTTCGAAAAAAAACTATATGTATTGTTCAAATTACATTTGGGTCTAATTACGTACTGATAACTCTTAAGTGACATCTGGTCAAGTGGTACAGCTTTAATACAGGCACTTGACAAAATGTACATCAGCAATATTTTTATCTTCTTACCTAATGACCTAGTTTTTAAACCCAGAAACAGTGGCGAGGATAGTTTTTAGTGATTCATCCCTTCTTAATTGAGTTTATTATATTTTGTTGGATTAAAATCATAAATTGTTGCCTAAAATGTCAAGACTTGGTAATCTCAGAGGCAAATATCTTTATAATGATTATAGACTTACCTTTCAAATGTACATTAGGCTAAAAGAAACCTATAAACTACTCGCTTTCTTAGTGTACAGACAGCTTTGTAAAGAATGATCAAATAATTAAATAAATCTACTGAGATTTGATAATTTCACGACGGAGTAAAGAACTAGTGAAAATTTGTTTTTACCGCTAGATGAAAGAAAATAGCTACTTTTTGAAGAACAAAAAACCAATTCTTTATTAGAGGTGTAATAATTCTTATAATTTTTTAGACGTCTCGGTTTCAAATTATTTTACGGTTAGATAAGGTAATTTAACATAGTTGTGAATTTGGTCTAAAGTTATGCAACTTTCACCTAATGGCGGTGACAGTAAATAAATATTTAGGGTACATAGTTCTGTGAATCTTCAACATCGATACTGACCCCATTGGTATTACTAAAATCACTCTAGCTGGGGGTACTCGATGACGCAGCCGCACCAGATTACGAGTCGGTACACCGTGCTTTGTATCCCTTGCGACTACTAGCCAGCTCAAACCAAACGATTCTCAACACATCGACAATCTTCCAAACCTATCTTTGCATTCATTCATTTCTAACTTTTGATTTGACTGGTTTGGTATCCTTCGATTATGAAAGTGCTACAGACAAAAGCGTTGTCAAACCCCGGATACCTGTGGCATTTTTATGACCTTTACCTGTTAGGTGGAGGAATCGCCATTCTTTCAAAAGAAAATGCTTGATCGAATATATGCTTATTTATAAAAATCCATAAACTTACAGTAAAATTCATGCCTAAAGCTAAATTTTTACAGTGTTGTAATACTATTAATCAGGTTATTTAGCCAAAATAGCCACCAGTTTGCATATCGGTATGTTTACCACTGGAATAAACTTCAATTAGCTGGTTAGTGAAACCAGACTTAAAGCATATGAATTGACTATACAAGTGTATCTGATAGGTGGGTGGAAAAGATCTAATAGTTTTATGAACTGACTGATAATTTTTATGAGACTATAGTAATAATAGAAAACGATGAGGCTACGTTTTTTAGTGTGGTTCGCAGTGGAAACTTAAGTTCTGTTACGAGAAACTTTAGATACAAGATCGTTCATCTTATTTAAACACTGTACTTCAAGTCAATCATGAGCAAATATAAAACTGAAAACAAAACCTTACCCAAGTTAGTTGATATATCACAAATACATCTGATGTTCGACAACAGGGTGTGGCTTGTTGTAAAACATAACAATTCGTTTGATCAGGTAAAATTTCAATATTTCAGTTGCAAAATGAATCTTTATGCATAGCTTGTTGTACGGATTTTATCGTAAATTATATTTACAGTCAAACCAATCTTGAATAAGGATTTATTATTATTAAAGTTCAACAGTCTGCTCAGATTCCACTCACAAAGCGATAATCTAGAACTACTTTCACCTCAAATACAATGATTCTGTGTGTGAATATCGAAAAATAGAAAGTCGTATCGGCAAAATGTAAATTGATTAAATTTAGATAATAAGAAATACTTCTGAATAACGCTCATTTAGTCACAGAAAATACTTGTGTGCACTTGTACACATCACCAATGATATGGTTAATTTTGCTCCTTCATTTTTCTAAAAACATCATTTCAAAGTTAGAAATAACAAGAAAGCACTGCTTCCTCCATAATATTTTGAGGTTTTTGCAAAGCTAGTAGGGGCTTCCGAATCGCTAAAGTTATGTTTTTCTTATGTTGACACCAGTTCTAAGCCTTATTTTTGCAGCGTGGTTGTTTCGGCGGGTAAGCATCTATTAGCTCTGAATTCATGTAGGTACATAGATTGTTTGAAGTTGACAAGAGCAAAACATTTATAAGATGACTTTAAAAATAGTTGTGACGCGGCGAGATTTACTTGAGCATTTTGAAAAGTTTAAAGGCCACTGACGGTTTAAACGGCCTACTGAGATTTTAAGGGGACAGTCTACTTACTGTAATACGTACGTATATCTACACATTAATATATCTTGTCGGAAGCAGCTAACATCAAATAATCTATTGTCATGTGATGGCTGATAACTGCGACTGTATAATGAGTGTTTAAGTAGAACACAGTATTCCAAATATGATTCATCATTTAATTGTTGAGTGACAAAAACGTCAGTATAAGTGTCAAATGTAATGCGACCCGGATTAATGTCAGACAAAACTGGGGAAGCAACTTATCGAAATTTCAAATAAACTACTAATATAATACAGGTAAAAAATAACTCGTCGTTTTAACTGGCTAACCTTAAACAGGTCACTATGTTTAAAAGACCACCAGTTTCTTTTTATCAATGAAGGTCAAAAAAGTGCATTTTAAGTTATCTTCGTAAATAACAGCTAGTATTAATAGAGCCCTAGATAAAGCTTGAGTCTCTTTCTTCGAATGGAACGTGATTAAAACTACCTAAATATTTTATGTCAACTCTACTTTTCTTGATTTACTGATAGGATTTTAAATTGCGCTACAGTGCTTTCTTATCCACCTACAGTTATGTATGTGGTAAGTATCGATGTCAAAGACTGACAGAACTATTTGCTTCGAAGATTTTTGATGGCTACAGTGCATTAATATTACGCGTAGCTTATAAGGTTTCTTGTGTCTGACATACCAATTAGACTATTCATAAATGTGAAAGGAGATAATATACTCCATTCAAGGAAACTAATCTCTCTATTGCGTGGTTATATCATAGTGACAGAAATAAGACTGGATGATGCATTTATCTACCAACTTTATTTTGGTAGCTGACACTCAATGATAAATGTAGTCATGATGACAAATAAGAATTTCTAGTGTTGTGAAAGGCTGGGAAACTGGTTAGCACACAGTCGAGTAACCAGTCTCTTATGAACGATATTGAGGAACCTTAACTTCTTTCAACTACCTGGGATCATCATTCTAACACTTGTTGTACTTGGTCTTTTAAAGTGTCACATACCACCATAAAACATGGGAGGAACGCAGTTTCAAACAGACATTTATTAATATGGTTGGCTTATCTCAGGGTATTGCTCTAACAGTGAACTCCAGATTGCTAAGCATCAGGTTTAACCGGTAGACTTTTATTGAGGTACATGAGTCGGAATATTATTTCATATGCACTTCTTTTTTAAAGGGGTTTTATTTTCCATATTCGTTCTTTGAGCGATGAGAGTACTTAGTGTATGCTTGAAAAAGTTAAATTCATCAGACTTCCCCCCTCACCCTTAATCAGAACTACATTTTGTGTCTTTACTCCTGAGTGGTATATAGGACTTAAAAAACATTATGTAGGACTGACAAACCTAAATCCTGAGGTACATCACTTTGATAAGTTTCACTACTCATGTATAAAAGGTCGTCTGTAGACATGTATTTCATTCAAACTTTTCAGCTATCGACCATGTGTTTCAAATCAATGGCATTCAGTTATTTTCAGCGGATGGCAGCACAGGTCTGAATTAATAACTTTCACCATCAAATATGTCAGTATTTGGTGGAAAGCAGAATCCTGTGCGACTTATTTGGAGGTTGCGACATGAAGGTTTCATAAAACCAAACATACAACGTTCGAACTGAGTGAGATAGTGGCGTTGATGGTTACTTCAGTGGTGCTACTTGGAAGCCAATGGTTTGTTGTTTGAGTCAATCTCTGTAACAAATGTGATCAAAAACCACTGAATATAAAGAAACATTAGTGTTACACCTGATAAGTTGACATTCTATGTTGATACCCAAATAAATTATCTTTCCATCCTGGACCGACAGATGAAAAGACACATATGAAGGAATCAGAATGAAATAAGAATTAGAAGCGGTGTATATAGAAGTAGGTGTCTTCTGTGCTCATTCTACTTCGAAACGACAAAGTAGCACATTTCAACCCATATTTGAAGACTAAGTCTAGTCGAAACATTAGGTCTGACAGTTGATTTTCAGAACCTGGAACCGGTTGAGATGCAGAGTAAAGAGTGTGAATATTTTAATCCTTAATCTATACAAACCGTTTGGCTCTTACCAAATTAAGTCACCTATGGCGATGGTGGGATCTTCATCTGTCAATCAAGATACGAATATACTGCGCAGCAGTTTGTTCTGTTTTATTTTACGGCTGCGAAATGTGGACATTTTGAGTAGAAGATACTCGTAAGTTGCTAGTATTTGACCATAGATGCCTTAGATATACTGCTCATATCTCCTAAGATCATGGAGTAAGTGATGGTGATCTTGGACGCAGGGTATTAGGGAAGGATGGTAAATCAGTTGATGAGGTGTTAAATCTTCATAGACTGAGATGGTTAGGCCACGTGTTACGTATGCCTGAACACCGATTGCCACGACGCGTGATGTTGACTAGTGTTGGAGATGGTTGGAAGAAAGTTAGGGGCGGTCAAACCAAAATTGGCATCAGTGCTTGAAGTCACTAATTTCTAGTCTAAGCCATGCTGGTAGATGTAGACTACTTGGTTGGGGTCCATGTGGCTATCGTAACGAATGGTTGGAGACTAGTGGTGACATGGCTCAGAATCGATCACAATGTCGTAGGTGTATAAAGTCTCCTTTTCCCTTAAACTACGAGATTAAAATTACTTTATACCCTTCTTTTTCCGAACTTATTTTTTTCCCTGTATTATATCCGTATACAGAATCATTCTTTTATATATTACTATGATTAAAGTAACTACTTCCATGGATTCGGTGTTCATATTATTGTGCTAATGAGGTGTGGCAACTTGGACCGACGCATATATGTCCCTGGTTCTAATTTTTGGCTGACTGACTGACTGAATCTATACAAACATATTGGTGCTATGAAAAAACTATGTTCCGGTGTGCGGATGATAACCCAAACTATGAGTATCTTGACAAGCTAGCTACTTTCCATAGATCTGGAAAAAATAATGACTTAGCTCCCCAAACTAGCTTTCAGTACAAAGCGGGCCTAGATAAAAGCTTGGTTAGTGAGCTAATTGCTGCCAATTTCATAGCAATAATCTTATAGAGATTGATAAAATATCAATCCAGCTAACAGAGTAAAATGGATAGCGGCCATATTCAATTACAGAGGTTCTGAAATCAATAGGCTAGGAGGATTTAATATCCCAACCGGACTCAGAATTTCATGATTGCATAAAAGAGTGAGAAGCTGAGGAAGAGGCTACATTGTTGACCAATGCTTAAGAGAACAGACCTATCATACTAAATGCATAGTCGATGAGGTTCATTACATCATTGTGAGTTCAACAAAAATTTGTCTAAATTTCATCCTTATCTGTTACCCAAATGGCTGAAACTTGCCGAACAAGAGATTTGAGCAAGTAGTACGGAAAAATTACAATAGACTAGATTTAGACAGAATAAAACGAATGTGGCTGACAGTGTACACTTACAATAATGAAACCAGTTTCGGTGAAAGACTTGAGAAAGTGACATCAAAGAGCAATAAAAAAGCCATGACAAACAATGGAAGCTATTTTTCTGAACGTATTCTCCCTTAATTCATTTTTGTATTGGTCTTTTGAACCTTCTCATTGGTGTCTCGCACTGCAACTGGTCAATTTCTTGTTGGCATATGCGCATTCTGTGGGGATCGCCTAGAAATTGCCTTAAGTCACACACATTCTAAGCAGACTGGAGCGTCCGACAACCTAAAAAGTGACAACCCAAACCAGTCTTCTTGAGCGGGTATAATCAACTACGAATTAATATTATAGTTGTCTTAATCAATGTTCAAGTAATAGAAAAGCACCTTTAACAAGTAAACGATATCAAGCATTGATGGTGAGGGCGATGATTTCAATCCGCCTATGTTTCCACGACAAAACATTTTGTTTGTATCAAGCCCTCTATGATTCAGAACGTGGCGGCCAATCATTGATACTAAGGTTGTTCTCCTACTCCCACTAGTAAGACACATGTTTCCAATTTTATTCTGGATTAGCTATTCTGCTAAGGCAACCTATAACACACTAACTCGTACTTTTACATTATAACCTATTGGCTGGGTTCAGACGAGAAAAAAATAAAATAAAAAAGATCAGACAATAAAAAGTATAGTTACGAGTTTCTCTTAACACTACTCTTTCAGTTCATTTTCCCTTCTGATAAACAGCCTATCATTTTTCAGCATCTCACTCTCAGGGCACAGCTATGGAGCGTCTGACGCCTGTAACAAACTCGGTATACGTGTTTTCTTAAGTCATAATTCATACCAAGCGCTCCACTTCATAACAACTATAAACTTAAAAAGTTGTATTGCATAAATACTTAGCACGACCAGAATCCTAACACAATAGTTCTGAGTTTGAATCCCGTTTGTAACGAAGACGCGATGTCAATTTATAAAACATTTTGAGCACTGTACTCAGTGTAATACTAATGTATTAACCTAATCATTAACTCTCTGGCGGCCTGATTGAATATCTGGGGTACCTGTTTCTGCCATCTAATTATTTCAACAAGTTATCTGTTTTTTTCACTTTTTTTAGCGTTTCATAATGTTCCTTAATCGCATAACATACACAGGCGCGTTTATGAGAAGCTGACAACCTTTCGCTGCACAAGTTACAAAAAAGTATCAGAATGGGTTTTGTGGAGAGTTTTTTAGAAAGTTCATAGGTTGAAATCATGAGTGGATTGAAGCTAGACCACCATGGAAAATCTGGAAGCAGTGGATGGCCATTTCGTCCTAGTATTGGACTCCTCAGCAGTGCGCATCCACGATTCTGATAATAATCAACTGCTCACTTGTGACTGACTTCAAGAAAAACTCCTGGAGTTCTAGTGAGAAGCCATTACCAGTGGAGTCCAACCAGGTCTGTTGTGAGATAACAACTCACTGAAGACAATGGTGTACGGTGGCGCAACTTCGTGGATTGGTTGAAGTTAGACATTAACACCGTTGGATGCCGGCTCAGTGGTCTATTGGTTAAGTGCTCGCGCGCGAAACCAGTATGTCCTGGGTTCGAACCCCGCGTGATGCGGGATCGTGGATGCGCACTGCTGAGCAGTCCCATACTAGGACGAAACGGCCGTCCAATGCTTCCAGGTTTTCCATGGTGCTCTACCTTAAATCGACTCATGATTTCAAACTATGAAATTCCTTACAAAAAAGTATTATAAAAGACATCGTGATGGTTGACAATATGCGTTGAGGAGAATGAACATTAATCGTATGTCGATTCCCGAGCTCGTAATTTCTAACGCCCGATCACTAATTAACAAGGTGGACTATCTTCAATTCCTCAGTCAAAATATGTATCGTAATTGTGGTGTCATCACAGTTCAATAAACTTGATTAAATGATTTACAGG